GGCAGTTAATGGACACGTGTTACAGACAGTTTACAAGGTGGTTTTAACGCATTTCAATACTGTCTCGCGTATGGCGAAGACAGTAAACACGTACGTAAAAGATTGTCTCGCTGCGAGACAGCAAAGACTGTCTCGCTGCGAGACAGTAAACACTGCCTCGCTTGCGAGACAGTTCATATCTGTATTAATTTTCCAAAACAGTATGAGATCAATTCTTGTGATTTTTTGGAGTGATCTTCTCTATGTTTGGATATCTATTAGCATTTTTTGACGCCTACAGATACCCCCTCCAAAGTATTCCAGACGCATTCTTTTATAGAAGAGTCTGAGATATTTTGGATAAGATAGATTTTACTTACGATCCTTTCAATGCTTGGTTGAGTAGATCGTGTAGAAGAATCTGTAAAATGACTCCAGCTCTTGATCTCTTCATCCATTAGTCCATTCAGTTCTTTGTAGAATAGCTAATGCTTCTCCGGTACTGTGTTTATCGCTTGACCGTTGTTGAGATCTTGAATCGAGACTGGTATTTCCAGATTGATGCTTGTATGTCCCTTGAGAGTTCGTCAGGTTATCCTTAAGAATATTCAGATTAATATTCTCCAGAAACTGCCTGTCGAGTGTAGGAAAACAGTTTAAACTCGTGTACCTATTAGAGTATTCTGGTCTCTTTTTTGTTGGTAGAGGTGAACCCGATGATGGAGAGGAAGAATTTTATATTCTATCTCCTGGTCTCTTTTTTGTTGGTAGAGATAAACCCAAAAATCAAAGATGAAGAATTTTATATTCTATCTCCTGGTCTCTTGTTTGTTGGTAGAGATGAACCCGAAATCGGAGAGGAAGAATTTTATATTCTATCTCCTGGTCTCTTGTTTGTAGGTAGAGATGAACCCGAAAGATATTCCTCAAACTTGGTTTGGTCGAACTCGTATTCGATCGTGGATTCAACTGGAATCTTGATCGGCTGCGACACGACGGTCTCGGCAGCGAGACCGTTGGCTCCCACTGTGGTCGCCAGTCTGTTTGCGTCAAAAGTTGACTTTGTTATGAAATTCATCATATATTCGGTCGATTATAATAAATTCGAAAGAAATAGTCTTTTTATAAGACTTCTTTTACACAACAAAATAAAAATTACAACTTTTTAGAAACAAACGCAGGATCGTTGTTTGGATCGCTGCTTGCGTGGGATCTTTGCCTGTGCCGGGAGCGCTTTAACTCGTGGACCACCAAATCACAGATTCTGATTGAATTGTGAGGGGTTAAGTGATTCTTCCTTCGTTTATCGAAGTAGGAATTTGAAGTGAAGATCTTATCAAAGTAAGACGATCACTCTTCTTAAGATCAAGTCAAAGCTCGAATCTCAAGGAATTGCCAGAAGCTCAGGAACTCTGCTATCTTATCGAAGTAAGATAGTCGTTCTTCTTGAGATCAAGTCAAAGCTCAAATCTCAAGGGGTATTTATAGCCTCCATGAACAGTTATGCTCACGAGACAGCATTTGCTGTCTCTGCTGCTGAGACAGTGTTTGCTATCTCGGCGGCCGAGACAGAGTTTACTGTCTCGGGTTCCGAGATAGTAAACAATGTCTCGGAAAACCCAACTGCATAGTGGTTTCTTCAGTAACTGCCTTCCCACTGTAGGCAATAAAAATTGCCTTTAATCCTTATCAGAGAAGTTCAGAACAAAACTGCTAAAAAAACTCGCCCGAAATAGCAGAAAAAGGGGAAAATACGGATATCTCCCAAACCGTAAGGAATTTGGCGAAACGGAGGAAGCGAACCAAAGCCTTTGGCTAGGTTCGGATGGCTCCATCTCGTCGAGATAGGCGATTTTCATATATAATTCGTCCAATTCCGACTTACGGTTTGAAAGTTACGGCCTATTCTTCGACTCATGCTATAGAGCTCGCCTAACGGCTTGAAGATCGCCTGCAGACCCAGGTTCGTTTGCAGTCCCCAGCTTCGCCTGCAGTCTCAAATCCGCCTGCAGACCCCAAGTCTGTCTGCGCACCTGAGCTCGCCTGCAGACCCAGTTCGCCTGCAAGCTCGCCTGCAGACCCAAGTCTGCCTGCTCGCCTGCGGTCCCAGCGGCACAGTACTCCAAGACCGTCAAGTGGCCGCTCACAGTATGAATGACTAGACAGGTGTCAAGTCGACCTGAACATTCATAAATGCAGCTCACCTCGGCTGTCTGAGTCAAGAGCCGGATCCGCCAGCACCCGGCGAGCTGTCCAAGCCTACTCGAGTACCAGGAACCCGTTTTCCCACCTCTCTCGGCCTGAAGAGAGAAGACACGGTACTCCGGGCCCGTCGAATGACTGCTCACGGTACGAATGATCGGACAGATGCCAGGTCAACCTACGCGTTCGTAAATGCAGCTTACCTCACTTGTCCAAGCAGAAGGGAGGGCCACCGGCGCTCAGTGAGTTGGCCACATCCACTCGAGTATCTGACAGCCGCTGTCACGCCACTCCTATGTAGCGTGATGCAGAGCACAGCTCTTCGAATGACCATTGACGGTACGAATGAACAGCAGGACGTCTCCGAACAACGTGTGGTCACATCCCATAATTCAAGGAGCAGTCAAGCTGTCTCCCTCACATGGTCAAATCCCATGAATCAAGGGATGGCCCATGTCATCCCCTGCCTACTAAAACCCATCTTCAGCCAGCATGAAAAAGGGGGTTGGCTGTTGCATATTCGGCCGGCTAATCTCCCAAAGGTTGAACCTGGACCTTTGCCAAAGGCTCCCTCATTTGAGGACTGAAGCTCCGGCAGCAACTTCGATCGGATCGTCCAAGGGAAGCAGACTCGGCACGGGCACCGAGCGAGGCGTCCTATCGCCACCGAGGAACCCACGTTAAACAAGGAGGGCCTTCCCTCCGCTTCTGTTGTAAACATTTGATTTATTAGTTTGTAATAAGCCTTCTTATCAATACAAACGAAGTTCCCTGTTTTCAGGAGATCAAAATTTACTACATACACCCACGTTTTAAACTCTGTTATTTTGATAGTTATCCACGTGATTCTCGTCCACGATGTTTTTCACGTCCTTGGCAGTTAATGGACACGTGTACGGCAGTTATCAAGGTGGTTTTTGACCAATTCAACACTGTCTCGCTGGCAAGACAGTAAACACTGTCTCACTACGAGACAGTAAACACTGTCTCGCCGGCGAGACAGTAAAAGACTATCTAACACTGTCTCGCTGCGAGACAGTAAACACTGTCTCGCTGGCGAGACAGTAAAAGACTGTCTCGCTGCGAGACAGTAAAGACTGTCTCGCTTGCGAGACAGTAAAGACTGTCTCGCTGGCGAGACAGTTCATATCTGTATTCTTTTGATTTTTTGATGATCTCCTCTTGAGCTGTATTTGGATATCTATTAGCATTTTTTGACGCCTACACACTACAGTAATTCCGACCCACGCTATAGTGCCGACCCGCGCTACAGTAATCCGACCCGCGCTGTTTTGATCCTCGGACGTGTTTTCGACGGTTTTGAGCGGTTTTCTCGGGATTTATCTGTTACAGGGGTTCCCAACTGATCTGATATCATCCCTAAACGTGGTTAATCAGTTATTAACTGAAGATAAGGAGGAATCATTCATTCTTATCCAAAAAACCCCAACCGAAGCCTATAAATATGAGCTCGGGGGCTCATTTCAATGGCGGATTAATTATCAAGACGAGGAGGTGCTGCCGAGTTGGAGAGCAAAGGAGCACGAATTTCAGCAAGGGTTAGCGAGATCCCGGTGAATCCCGGCATAAAGAAGAAGTAATTCGAAGGATCTGAAGCTCGTTCCCGTTCGTTCCTCGAGATTAGGCTTGGTCTTAATCTCAAGAAGAGCTACTGATTTCGCTTGGTCGATTTCAGCGCTTTAAGCAAATACCTCCTTGGTGATGTAGGAGCTCTGTCGAATTTTTAGCAACCGGGTCTGATCAAAGGTGGTCCACGGATAAACCCCGGTACAGGCGAAGACACCCACGCAAGTAGGAGACGATAAACGGATCTTGCGTTTATTTTCAAGAGAATTGTATCTTTTATTTTCATTGTGTAAAGGTCTTATAAAAAGACCGATCTTTTTAAACTTATTGTAACGATCAAAGTTGTAATGAGTTATACAATAAAAAAATAATTTTCTACGAAAACAAATATTGTTGAAGACTGTGTAGATCACAAGTTCAGTGGGAGTAAGTATATTTTTCTGGTTCTGTATGTCGATGACATATTGCTTGTCACTAATGATATAGGCATGTTGCACGAAACTAAGAGATTTCTTTCAAAGAATTTTAAGATGAAAGATCTTGGGGACGCCTCTTTTATATTAGGAATCCAGATACATCGAGATCGTTCTCACGGTATACTTAGATTATCACAAAAGAGCTATATCGATAAAGTACTCTAAAGATTTGGCATGCAAGATTACAGACCAGATGACACCCCTGTTACTAAATATGACAAGATTAGTCTCAATCAGTGCCTAAAGGTAACCTCAAAATTCAGGAAATACAGAAGATTCCTTATGCTTCGGCTGTAGGAAGACTAATATATGCTCAGGTGTGTACGCGTCCGGATATTGCGTACATTGTTGGTATGTTAGGCAGGTACTTAAGCAACCTTGGTATGGTTAGCAGTCAAAAGGGTTATGAGGTATCTTCAGAAAATAATAGATTATATGCTCTCATACAGGAAAAAATCATAACAGTTAGAGGTCATTGGGTACCCTGATTCTGATATTACTAGATGCTAAGATAGCAGAAAGTCCACATCATGCTACATTTATATGTTAGCAGGAGGAGCTATATCATGAAAAGTGTTAAACAGACATTTGTAGCTTCCTCCACTATGACAACATAGTTTATAGCTTGCTATGAGGCATTCAATCAGGGAATATAGCTGTGAAATTTTGTCACTAGACTGCGTATTTTAAAAATATTGAAAGACCACTTAAGCTATTTTGTGATAATAAATCAGCAGGTGATGTATTCCAATAACAACAGGAGCTCAACTAAGTCAAAACATATTGACATTAAGTTTCTAGTTGTAAAAGAAAGGATATAGAGTAGACAAATATCCATAGAGCATATTGGGATAAACTCCATGCTAGTTGATCCTCTTACTAAAGGATTACCACCCAAGGTCTTTCATGAGCACAATGCTCATATGGGTGTGGTAGTTTGAGGATATCATGATTCAGTGGGGGTTTGTAATTTGTGGTGCTTTATGTTGATTATATTGTCTGATCAGAATAAAGTATTCAGTTAAGACACTCTGTTATATTATGTTGAGGTTGGCCTCACTAAAGTTTAAGGTAGGACCAGTTAAAAATAGACATGTATTGATCGCATTGCATGTAATTTTCATGCTGCACATCCATGATTGATCTATGTCGTTTGATTGTATTGGTATATGTGACTATTGATGGGTTTAGTTACAATAAATGTGACGAATGCCGTTTTGATCCTATATTGATATACTCAATGGACGAGATTTTTTGTAAATACCCTTATCTATGATAGCAAATTTTTGAGCTCATAAAGTTATACACACTTTAAGAAAACATATGGTGCCCAAGTGAAAGATTGTTGGATTTAAATCTAATTAAATCTATTTGTGAGCACATATGTTATATCAGTGTGTGTTGCTATCTTTACAGTTGACCTGTATAAAGTGATCAATCAGGTAATTGGGCCAATTGGGTATTTAAATATGTCATGGGCTAATTGTGCAGATATCATATTACAATTCTAATTTAATGAGGGGCTAAATTAGAAAACTGCAAATCTATGTAAAGAGGTTATGGTCCATAATCTTAGGGTTGAGTTCTCATTCTCTTATCCTCATCTAAAGAGAATTCTCAAGAGAGAACCCTCAAGATTAGAAGATCAAAATCTAAGATTAAGATCCGTGCAACCCAAATGGATTCAGGTATGTTTTCGCTCTTGTGTTCAATCTCTATGAATTAATCACGATTAAAGTCCAACGTATAGGTATGAGGCAGATCGATCGCTAAATGAAATCAACTGTGCAGAGTGACGGTTGCGAGATCTACTATCCGAAGCGGGAGGTACCAGAACCTCACAGTTTCTGCTAAACTACGCAAGACCAAATTAAGGTTTGTAGAACCCTAGAGGGAGAGATGAATGAGGTCAAAGAATACTTAAGCTTCAACTCTTTCCGGTGATAAGAGAGATTCCGTGATAAGGAGTATTTCATAGACAAGGATTTGTCTCGATTGAAGACTTTGAGGAAAGCAGGTGTGAGAACGAGCATCGAAAGAACAGAAGTAAAATCTGGGAATTGATGTCTTAAGAATTGTCAACATGAGGAGAAAGAAAGAAAGAAAGGAAAAAAAAAATTCACGAGACACATGAATGCATGAAGCGTAGGGTGGTTCAGCCTTCAATTCAGATAGGCCCCCACTTACGTAGAGCTAGATCTTTACCCGCGTCCTCTGATAAAGAACTTCCTCCAGAACCTCCCGCTGAAGTGCACGCAGCGACCTTCGCACCCGAGGCGGGATTTTCACTCCATCCACACCTGACAGCCCCAGGCGCATCAATCCCTTCACACCCGACAAGATAAAACTTGCGTCGGTAATGATGGGGCGTTTTCTTTAGAAACAACACTCTTTTGACTCGATGTACTTTCATCGCTCAACGTAACAGGAAGCCAAATTAAGATTTTAACCATGGGGCCCTAATTGTTTGTACGACAATCATTAAGTCAGAACAAGGTAATGGAACGAATTGAGGCATGGATACCCTTGATCAATTTTTAAGTAGCTTCGGAGGAGTAGATTTTTTTTTTTTTTTTTTTTTTTTTGTTTTTTTGGTGGGTTAATTTCCTTGCGGGGTTGTCGTGAAGACAACAAAGGAAAAAAAATAATTTAGGCTCCGTTTGTATACAATGATGTTTTACTTGTTTTCATGGTGTTTTTGCCGATAATAAAACCCCATTCGTTTGGAAACCATGGTGTTTTTTGAGCTAAGTCATCTTCAAACAAAAAACACAACACTTATTTCAAAATACATTTCAGGTGTTTTAAGTTTGGTGTTTTGGTTTTGTGTTTGAGGAGATGTTAATATAATATCTAACATAATATATTAAATGTAATTAATATGTAGTTATAATCAACATACTTATTATATTATAATATACTATATTATAGTTAATCTAATATATTAGTAATATTTATTAAATAATATAAATATATAATAATGAAAATATCTTATATAATAATATAATAATGTAAAAATAATACATTCATAATATAATAATAAATATTTATATCATAAATTATTAAAGTATTATTAATAAACTCTAACATATTAGAAACTATAATATATTATATAATATTAAAATATTTGTAATATATGAATTTATTAATAATATAGTAGTAATAACATAATATTAGCATTATTAATAATATTATATCATATTAATAATAGTATAATATTATAATAATAATAGTATAATATTATTATAATAATAAAATAATAATTTTTAAAAATATTATTGTTGCTGTTCGATATCACACAGCCAATGAGAGCTATCCTTTGATGGATGCAGCTTAGATCTTCGCATTTATGACGAAGGGTGAGAGGATGAGAGATGGGGTCGCTTCCTACTTTGACTTTGTGCCTGGTTCTTAGAGCTCGGGACGGACGAATGACCTGCACACGCAAGAATCATAAGAGGACGGGGCTTGTTTCCCCCATGGTACCTTCGACGATCAAATCAGTTGGTGAACTTGGGTGGGATGAAGGAAGAACAGTGTGTTCTTCTTTCTGTGTGGTATGTGCTTTATGGGGGTTTTTTAGATTGCGAAAAAACGAACCTCCTTTTATTGCGAATAGTGTCTGCATTTATAGAGGATGCCAAGGGCAGATTAGTTACTTCATGAGTGTGCGGTAGACGGTGGTGAGGGGTGAGCTGGAGGTTGACTCACCATTTGCTCTATACGTATCGGTTTGTGAGTTACGAGAGGTCACTTCGATGATATAGGGAACCAGCAGTCGACGAGGCTTGTCGGTGAGCGACGGGAGGTCACTTCAGCGATATGGGGAACCAGCAGCCGACGAGGCTTGTCGGTGAGCGACGGGAGGTCACTTCAGCGATATGTGGAGGATTTCCCTCATTTTCTTTTGACGAGATCTGGAGGGCGAGGGTAGTTAGGGTTTTTCCTGTTTCCCCTTTTTCGCCTTGAGGACGGAGGGGTAGGGGGAAGGGAGCGACTGGGGCAAGTTGAGGGGGAAGGGCGGGGTTATATAGCGAGGGAGTGGGGTTTGGAAATGGACGGCTGGGATTTAGCGTGGGGAACGGTAGGGAGAGAGACGGTAGGATGCGGAGGGAATTTGAATTTCGAATTTTGAATTTTGGGGGGTTATTACAGCTGGATATTAGTAACGGACGGATAGGGAGCAGGAGGATGGATGGTCAAAGCAGCGAGCGGTTTTAGCTGGAAAAGTGACTAAAATAGGCTTTTGGCCGGATTATAAAATTTGGTGCTCCTAAAATATAATTTTATTTAATTTTTATTTAAAGGGCAAAATTGTAATTTTCGATCAATATTTCTTACCCCCGGACGAGACCCGTGTCTTCAACCTCCGCTTCCTGCTCTCCGAATCCTCCAGCCTCATCAAAGCAACTGCTTCTAGAAACCGCGACGGCGATCTCGGAGAGCAACCTCGAGGTCGCCGCCGCGAATCTCGCCGCCCTAAAACGCGCGGGGAACCCCCGCGGCGACCCAGACCAAAGGCTGGCCTTAATGATGATCTCCGCTCTAATCGCGCGCATAAACTCGCCGCCGTCGGCGACCCTAACCCCGCCGGCTTCAGAGCTCTGCAGTCTAGAACACCAAACAGCGATCCAGATGCTCTACGACGCTTCCCCCATCTTCAAACTCGGCCACGTGGCGGCCAACTTCGCGATCCTCGACGCGGCAAGAGATCACCCGAAGATCCACATCGTCGACTTTGATCTGAGCCAAGGAGTCCAGTACGCTTCGTTGATTAACGCCGTCTCCGAGAGATCCCGTCACCGCTCGCTCACGCTGCTAGTGAACATAACTGCCGTTTGCGACCCAACTATGCCGTACAATACTCCGAGCACGGTCAACAACCTGAAGATCATCGGCGACAAGATCGTCACGCTGGCAAGCCGGTTCGGAGTCCCGGTCCGGTTCAGCGTTTTGAACCGGAGGGCGTCGGAGCTCGAGCGGGCGTCGCTCGGGTGCGAGGCCGGCGAGTGCTTGGCGGTGTATCTGTCGTTCGCTCTGTCGAGGATCGCCGACGAGAGCGCTTCCCCGGCGAACCCGCGGGACCAATTGCTCCGGCGAGTGAAGTCTCTCGGACCCGACATTGTCAAGCTCGTCGAGCAGGAGATGAACGCCAACACCGCGCCGTTCGCGACCCGGTTCGGTGAAGCCTGCGGTCACTACGGCTCGGTCCTCGATTCGCTCGACGCGACGATGAGCCGGGACGATCGGGGCCGGTTCAGGATCGAGCGTGCGCTCGGTCGAAAGGCTAGCAACTCTGAGAAGGGACACACCTTTGTCTTGAAGGCAAGCTGCAGTGGCTAAGCCAGATGGTCCTGCTCCGATGATAATGGGTCCAGGAACCCAAAATTGCTTCGGAGTTGATTCCACATATCCAGCAAGTGGCTCATTAAGATTGAATTCTAGAGCTGCGCACGGGTTTTCGTTTGTAGATTAGTTGGCTATAGAGGAGTAAGCAACTGATGACTTGGAATCAAGGAATATTGTAGGAATTGCAAGTGGGTTTCAGATTCTGAGGCTAAAATTCTATTGAAAACTGTGGTGGCTTCAGTTGTGATTGCAGGAAATAAAGGCGGCATGAGGAAGACGGTGGCAAATAATCTAAATATAACTGCCCCTCAAAACCAAATAAATTACCAATTTGGGTGTGGTACTTCACGAAACCGATCATAGCGTTTTATGGGGAAATAAGAGAGCGACAATATCGGACACTAATTACCATTTGTGCCATGGGTACTCCAAAATTGATTTTTTGGAGCACCGAAGTTGTCAGCATTATATAATATATAACAATAACAAGTTGATATATCAAAATAATTAAATATATAATTATTTAAAAATAATATATAATAATTATAATATAATAATTATAAAATAATAATTATAAAATAATATAATTCGTTAAAGTATAATATAATATTATATTATATTTAATACTTATAATACTATAATAATATAAACTAACTATTATAATATTTTATTTATAATACATTATATTATAATTAATGTATAATATATTAATAATTTATTTAATACTAATGTTGTAATAGGTCAAACTAATATTGAACAAAAACACTCGACATTGTGTTTTGGAAACACTTTAAGGGAAAAACACAATACCATGATGTTTTTTTACGAAAACACAATAAGAAAAATATCATGGTATCCAAACGAATCCTTAAATATTTGATTTGAAAATATACCATACTTGACCGCTTGAAACAAAAATGTAGCAATTAATATCAAAAATAATAATGATTTTCGTTGTATATCGAGCTGTTGAAATACAAAATGAATTTGAACATAATTTGATTGAGAATTTGGTGTGTAAGAGTGATTTTGAAAATGGGTGGGCTTATTTTTAAACGGGCATAAAATTTTGGTGTATAGCCAAAATATCTTATTTAGAGGTTGGGTGTCTTTCAACATAAATGAGGATAATATTTTAGGTCTACACGCTAAAGTCAATATCTATATGATTACTATGATAAAAACTAAAAAATATTCTAAGCATTTGATTCAGAAGTACACTGTACTTCTAATTATTTAGAACAAAAATATTTAAAGTTAATAACAATATATAGAAGTGCATAATGTATACCAAACCACTAAAGTATAAAACAAGTTTAAGATTAGTGGGACAAAGTATTTTGTGTCTCAAATGAAGTTGGAAGTATGGTGGTTTTAAAAATAAATGAAGGTATTTAAAAGTATTGTAACCTTGGTTGCTTGGCAATGAGCTTGCACTTTAGCGAATGTGAACACCATAACAAGTAAAATTTGAATTTATACACAATTAGCATGCAAAATGCAAAAAAGAATTTTTTTTAATATATGGTTAAAATTTACGTATACCTGGCCACTTACCAAAAAAACTACAGATTAAAGCAAAATATAGCAACGCACTTATATAAGAAACTGCTATAATACAAAGTGAGTTTAGAAATAATTCAGTAGAGTATTTTGGGTGTAAGAGTGATTTTTGAAGTAGATAGATTTTAAAAAAAAACTTATTGGGGTTGGTTTTTTTTTTTTTTTTTTTTGGGGGGGGGGGGGGGCAAAATTTGGGTTTATAAGGAAACATCCTTTTTGGAAATAAATGGATTTAAAAATAAATGATGGTAAAACTTAGTTAGGGCTTATAAGAAAAATCCTATCTACATTTCATGGTGCCGTTACAGCTTAAAAAAAATCCTAAACATAATGCTTTAAGCATGTGGTTAAACCACACAACTAATCACCTTGAAAAGAAATGTAGCAAGTTAAAGTGAAATACAGCAACTCAAACCATATGTCAAATTGTTTGAATAAAAAGTGAGTTGAAAATTAGTTTAATACATCACATACCTAATCACCTTGAAAAGAAATAAAGCAAGCTAAAGTGAAATATAGCGATTTAAACCATATGTCAATTTGTTTGAATATAAAATGAGTTTAAAAATATCTTTTTCTGGTATTTTGAGTCTAAGAATGACTTTGAAAAGTGAGTTTAAAAATAAATATAGCTTAAACTCTGGGTTTATAAGTTAAAAACCTTTTTGAAAGTGGACGGACTTGAAAGTAAATAAGAATAATATTAATAAGTAAAATGTCTTATCTTGAAACACACACTAAATCTACAGTATAAACCCACGGTGCATCTGTTGGTTAATAAAGATATTGGAAGTGGGTGGGCTTAAATGTAGAATTGCTTATATGGGTATAGAGACGAAAGTCCGGTAATTAAGATATTGGGTACACTGTAGCACACATAATGCCAGTCTATGGTACTAGCCTCAATAGCTTTAGTACATAGATAAATGTCTCCTGCCAACACCCTAGAGGATCAAATGGTAATCTGAGTGCAAGAGTGAAGAGATCAACAATGATGAAGAAATCTAAGACAAATTAGTCCCTTAAACCTAGGGGTGTACGAAAATACATGTGTCCAAGGTCACATATGTATCCATATTCATTAGGATGTGAGTACAATTACTAAAATATATATTTGATAGGGTATAGTTACGAACATGGATATAAAGTGAAATATTTGGATTCGTATATGAAATATCCAAATATATATATGTTGTTCATACAGTTGTAAGTTGTAACAATTTTATTTCTTAGATTAATGAATTTGAAGTTAATTTTAATGATCAAGAGGTCTAATCTTTGCTTTTTCAATTTTAACGAACATATTAATGTATTCTCTCCTATCGTATGAACTATATTGTTGATGTCCGAGATCACACAGTCGATGAGAGCTATCCGCTGATGACGACGAGTGAGAGGATGAGAGATGAGACCGCTTCCTACTTCGACTTTATGCCTGGTTCTCAGAGCTCGGGACGGATGAATGACCTGCACACATAAGAATTGTAAGAGGACGTGGTTTGTTTCCCCGTGGTACCTCCGACGATCAAGTCAGTTGATGAACTTAGGTGGGATGAAGGAAGAACGGTGTGTTCTTCCATTTGTGTACTATGTGCTTTGTAGGGGTTTTTTTATTACGAAAAACCGAACCTCTTTTTAGGGCGAATAGCATCTGTATTTATAAAGGATGCAGAGGGCAGATTAGTTACTTCATGAGCATGCGGTAGACGGTGGTGAGGGGTGAGCTGGAGGTTAACTTACCCTTTACTTTATACGTGTCGGTTTTTGAGTGACAGGGGTCACTTCGATGATATGGGGAACCAGCGGCCGGCGAGGCTTGTCGGTGAGCGACGGGAGGTCACTTCAACGATATAGGGAACCAGCGGCCGACGAGGCTTGCCGATGAGCGATGAGAGACATAATGATGATCGATGAGAGACATAATGATGATCGTCAAAGGTTTAAAAAGTGTTAAGCCATATTCTGAATCGTCATTGGGAGGAGTGTCGACTAACGCCGAGTAGTAATCCTTCGATATGAAGAGGGTCGATTGAGTCCGCCTCTCGAGTCGTCTTTGAGGAATGATGCTGACTCGACTGGGGGCAGTGACGGCTCGGCTGTCCTTTAGGTCGACTCCGATGAGCGTTGAATCTATAGAGATACTGTATGTTCTCAGCACCGTCTGGCACTCCTTTCGATGCGCAAGATCTCACGTCGGCTCGGCTTGAGGGCTCGAGATCGCCTTAAGTTGACGACAATAATCTTTCCGAGTCAGTCCACTGTGGATAAAGTGTCGTCTTGTCGAGGTTGCATATTTGTTGGAGTAATAGGGGACACCCTTAACATATATTCTTTTTTAATATATGCTCGTTGTCATATGTGCCGTTTTTTCTATCCAAATGTATAGCCAAATTTATAAATTTCGCAGCATATATATATATATAAATATATATATATATATTATATATATATAGTTATATATAGATATAATGATATATATATATATATATAGTATATATATAGTAGAGAGAGAGAGAGAGAGAAGAGATATGGTATTTGTTTGGTACCCGCAAACATAAATTTGTTGTTTGGTAGTGGAAGTGACACAATCTCGCTCACTCGATTCAAAATGAAAGATCACAATTCACTTGACTGAGGAGTGAGCATCGAGGATACACAACCATTTTGAATGAGTGGAGAGGATTATGTCACGCGTCCATTGACCAAAAACACAATTTTTTGGTGGCTTGGCTAGCCAAGCATACACATTTTCTTATATAATATATATATATATATATATATATAATATATTATATATATATATTAATATAATATTATATATATATAATATATATTATATATAATAATGATTATAAGTATATATATATATATATTATATATATATATATATATATATATGTTTGTGGAAAATTTGCAGTAAAAAGACAATGAAAGAAAAATTGATTTGTATTCTCTCAAAATTGATTACAATTTGGATTCCGATTACAAAAGAGAGGAGAATGAATTTGATTCTCCCCTTTGTTTAAGTCTGGGTTCTTCATGGTGGCGATGAAGTGCCTCCCTCGAATGCTCGCGTCGAGTTTGCTCTCCGTTGACGATCCGAACGTCTTGATTCACTGGAACGTGGTCTTCTCCTCACGATTTGACGCTGTGGAGAACTTGCGTGGCAAGTTTGAAAATAACTCTTAACGAGTTAATAACTCAGAGCGAGTTTTAGAAGAACTTGCAAAGCAAGTTTTGAACTCTGATCGAGTTGATAACTCTAAACGAGTTGATAACTCTGAACGAGTTTGGACTCTTGAAAAAGAGTTGATTTGAACCGAAAGTTCGGTTAATCAACCAAGAGAATGCTCCTATTGCCGATCTTGAAGATGATCTTCGTTAGAGAATGATGCCGATCTCCAAGAAATTCTCCCTTTGCTGCCAAGTCTAAGATCCCAAAAGCCAGCCCTTGACCGAATCTCTCTCTGTTGATGAGACAAAATCTGATCCCCTAACTCAATTGAGTTTCTCATATTTATAGGGGATTAAGGGTGGTAACTGCCCCCTTAATCCGCTCCTAAGTGGGGCGGAAATCCCTCAAATCATGGGGAAAAACAGTTCCTGGAACTGTTCAATTCGTGTTTGAACGAGTCAAACGCCTAAATTGGCGTTCCACAGGCCGCTTGCGTTTTGGACCTTAACTCTACGTCATGGAGATGAGACGCAGAGTTGGGCGCTCGCTGGGAGTTGAAACGCACAGGCCGCTTGCGTTTCGGACCTTAACTCTGCGTCGTGGAGATGAGACGCAGAGTTGGGCGCTCGCTGGGAGTTGAAACGCACAGGTCGTGCTGTTTTAGAGATGAACTCTGCGTTTTAGGCTGAAAACGCAGAGTTGGGCCTGTTTTAGGCTGAGAACGCACAGGTCGTGCTGTTTTAGAGATGAACTCTGCGTTTTAGGCTGAAAACGCAGAGTTGGGCCTATTTTAGGCTGAGAACGCATAGGTCGTGCTGTTTTAGAGATGAACTCTGCGTTTTAGGCTGAAAACGCAGAGTTGGGTCTGTTTTAGGCTGAAAACGCACAGTTGGGCCGTAACTCTGCGTTTTGATGTTATATCACGAGGATAACCTCTGCGTTTTGAGGTTATAACGCTGGTTCGACCTGTGCGTTTTGACTCTATAATGCATAGGCAAACCTTAGGTGGGCTTGGCGAGCTTCATGTTCTGACGAAGTCCAGTCTTGCAGACGGACTTCAGAACATAACTTGCTGCGAAGAACATGTCATAACTTTCAAACCGTAAGTCGGAATTGGACGAATTATATATGAAAATCGGCTATCTCGACGAGACGGAGCCATCTGAACCCAGCCATAGGCTTCGGTTCGCTTCCTCCGTTTCGCCAAATTCCTTACGGTTTGAAAGATATCTGCGTTTTAATATGAAGAGACCGTCAATTTGTAGTCTCTTTTGCTAGAGCGTTGTAAAGATCGTCACCTTGTAACCTTCGTCTTGGCTCCTTGAAAATACGAGAGTCATCAGATTGTAACTCCCGATGTTGATTAGTTGTCGTGAAGGTCGTCAGATTGTAACCTTCCTACCTGAAAGTTTTTAAATTGTAGGCCGTTCTGGAAGGTGCGTCTGATTGTAAACTTCCATCGTTGGTGGTTTGATGGGATAAGCTATCTGTAGTGATTTTTAGACAGCTTACATATATATATATATATATATATAATATATATATATTAATATGATGTATAGTATTATATATATATATATATTTAGTATCGCCGTTTTTTAGGGCGGATTGAATACAAAATTCTCTTACCAAAAGGCAATGATCTGTATTCGTATCTGTATTCATGATTGGTAAACTGATACAAATATGATAAGTATCATATCCGAACCGTATCCGAACTGGATGTACCCTGCTTAATTTTTTTTTTTGGTACAGATGTACCCTGCTTAATTTAATCATTGTTATCAGGACTTTGCTACTGCTCGTGTTGATAGGAAGGATTAATTTGAAACGACGCATAAGATAAGGAGGGCTTCATAGCAATTTGAATAATATTAGGGACTAAATTTGGGTCCTGTGAAAATTAGGTAACCAAATAGCAATTTTGATGATTGAGAGATTAACTTCAAACTGTCAAGGATCTAAGGGACTGATATTGAGGGGGAAACACTTTAATAAAAATATTGTTTTAATAAATAATTAGCTCATCGTACCAAGCTTGCTTTTACTTTAGGGTTCTTTTTTGATATTAGTCTATTCAATCTTTCATATTTTAAAATCAGTGTTCCAAAATATTGAAATTGCTATCAGGTTTTTCAAATCTTAGGTTACTTTGAAATTAGTCCACAACTAATTGAAATTACTATTAGCTCCAACAATTCTTGTGTTACTTTGAAATTAGTCCCTCACATAAAGCGTGGAGTGGCAGTTAGAGGAAAAGTAGTCCCCTAAATCATTAAAATCGCTATTATATTCTCAAATTCTCATAAGGTGTTCCAAATTAGTCCCTCTAATTACTACTTGTACACTTGATTGGAGGGACTATTTTCCAAAGTTACTCAGGAATTTTGGGATCTAATAGCAATTTTACTGATTTGTGTGACTACTTTCAGAATAGCTTAATATATGAGGGGCCAGGTAGCAATTTCAATGATATGCTGGATTAAAGAGAGTAATATTGAAGAAATCCTTCACTTTATGGGTTATATACTTCATTTAAGTACCCAAAAGTTTACATCATTTTCGTTTTCAGCTTTGAGACCCCAAATTACAAGAAGACACCCAAATTTTAAATAAAGTTTAACTTTGATGCCCTACAATAATTTAACAGGTTACTAGAGCTTAATTGCTTGGGTCGCAAAGAGAATATCCGGGCGTCAAAGCTAAAAATGGTGTGAGCCTCCGGGTATCTAACTGCAAACATCCCAGAAAGCTGTATATAAAGGCCACTCCTCGTTCAAACCAGTTTCGGATCCATCGTGACGCGTTTCGCCTCGTCGCCATCCGATTCGAATCCGTTAAAAGTCCATCCTCCCCTCTCTCTCGTCTCTCTCATCTCCTCTCTCTCTCTCTCTCAAATCTCATGCCCCAACGCTGCAGATTCCAACTCGGTCTTCGCTCTTCTTATATTTTAAGTTTTTTAACACCCCGCTCAGTCTCTGAATTCTTCTTCGGCGGACGCAGAAAAACGATGAGGGATTTTCGCGCCAGAGATCGCGATCTCTCAAGCGCCGGAGCCTCCCGCTCCGGCCGATTCCGGGAGAATCTCTTGCAGTCGTCTCCTCCTCCTCCTCCTCCCTCACGCGACGCCGGGGATTCGTCGAAGTAAACCTCGGACTTTCAGGACGATGACACCGTCATCCATTCCGCAGGCGCCGAGGCCCGCTATCGCCGCCGCCGCCGGCCGCCTCGACCGCGACGCCAGCGAGCTACTACGCGTCAGTGTCGTCTCGGTCTCGCCATCGATGGGGCGGAAGCTCCCTCTCACCGCCTCCGTCAGTTCTCGGCAGGAGCTCAAGGCCGAGCCCGTCGCCTAAAGCGAAGCAGCTGACTTCAAGATCTGAAGCAAGAACTTGAGGCGATTCTCCCTGGACGCCGAGAAGCGCGGCTCCGAAACCGTCGTCCGCCGCCATCGTCGGCCATCGAGTCCGCGCTGGCCACGTGCCGAGAGAGAGCCAGCGCGCGCGGGGCTGGATCGAACATCGATCCGGCACGCAAAAGGCCATCCGAGGGCTGAGGTTCATCAGCAACACCAAATCCAACGGTCCTGATGCATGGAACGGCGTTCAGTCCAATTTCGACAAGCTTGCTCGTGACGGTCTCCTATCCCGCTCCGATTTCGCCCAATGCATAGGTCTCTTCAATTTCCTCCAAAATTCTCTATTATTATTGTTTTGCTCATATATATATTTTTATTTTTAATGTCTAATTTGTTTGTTGAAGGGATGAAGGACTCCAAGGAGTTTGCATTGGAGCTTTTCGATGCATTGAGTCGAAGAAGGAGATTGAAGACGGAAAAGATCAGCAAAGAAGAACTTTACGAGTTTTGGTCACAGATCACTGATCAGAGCTTCGATTCTCGCCTTCAGATTTTCTTCGATATGTAATAAATGACTTAAAAGTAAATTATGTAATTTTTACAAATTTTTTGTGGAGTTTAATGTTTGTTTGATTTCAGGGTGGACAAGAATGAAGATGGAAGGATTACAGAGGCCGAAGTTAAAGAGGTAATTATGACCAAATGAGAAGAGAATAAAATTACAGATTTCTTAGGGGATAATATGAAATATTTTATTTGTGTTCAATTATGACAAGAAAATAATTTATATTAAAATATATATTTTTAAAAAAATTTCTAACTGGAGTCGGTGTGCCAAACCGGCGACACCGGAGCCAAAAGCCCCTAACAGCAGGTCCTCAAGAGTCACCTTTTCTCACTGGTGATAATTACTACTGTACCCCTAGTTGGTGGCTTTTTTCCCTTTGATTTTTCTTGAGAAAGAATATTTATCTCTTTTTCCCTTTGTTTATCAGATAATAATGCTGAGCGCGTCCGCAAATAAACTGTCTCGATTGAAAGAACAGGCAGAGGAATATGCCGCTTTAATTATGGAAGAGTTGGATCCTGAAGGACTTGGCTACATTGAGGTATCTCTAGCAATTTACAACTTGAAAAAAGAATGCGATTATAACTGCAATTGCCTATTTTGTTACCATTTAACTCAGAATGCAACTTTCTGTTAAGTTTGATTTTACAAAATTTTCTCATTTATAGGCTAAATAACCAGATTCTTACTTTTAGTGGGACCGTATTTCTAATATGGTATTTTTTTTCCTTCTTTCACTTGCGAAGTTATGATACTGATATCAACATTGGACGTCAATTATGTATTATTTTATATGAAAAAAATAACCAGATTGGTACGTTTAGTAGTAGAAAAAGTAATCAGATCAGTATCATTTTTGATATTAATGCTGCAATGTCACAAGTGAACGAAAAAAATACCATATTGGAAACATGGTCTTATTAAAAATGCCAATTTGGTAATTTTAGTCCTCATTTATATAACTGTAGTTACAATGAAGTAAACAACAATCATGTCTTATTATTATTATTTTTTTGCAACATTTAATAATTGTCGTAATTGCACTTTGAAATTTCCCTCCAACAACGCCAGCTTATATTTCTTTAAAATAAACAATATGGCATCATGTCTTCACCTTTGTTCTCAAAAAGAAAGATGCTAGCTATCTTTAGAAATAGGCGTTTCCACATGACTAAAGTTGTTTATAGCTTTTAATTAATTGCTCATATTGATTTGAGGCTTAAGAATCCAACGACTGGCTTAATTAAGCTTAACCCATCATTAGGGCCCTTGTCAGCATAAATATAATCCAGTTGCTTCTCAAGTTTCCTTTTTCCATGTAGCAGGTTACACACGTAGATAGACCTTGGCTCTGATTCTTATAAACATGCAAAGTGCATGATGGTGCTCTCTCACCTAACGCTCAGTCTATTTCTCTTCTTTTTTTCTAAAACAAATTAGTAGCACTAATAGATCATTTTACAGATGCCAGTGCTTGACCGAGTCCTTTCCCATTCTAATTCTCGTTTCCTGTCAACCACTACGCCCTGCTTTAGCCCCGCAAATTCCCAATTTGTCCTTACTACTATCATTTATTTACTAAATTACTAGTTGTACTTCAAAATGACTCTAGAATTAATTAGTTGGAATCTTAAACGAGTACTAATTTGATCAGCATGTCTTGTCTTTTAATATCACATTATATCATGCAATATTACATACTTGATATTTTGCTGATCAGGTCATGCATGAGATCATATAAGCAATATGGTTATTTATGAAAAGAAAATACATGGCTTTTATATTTTTTTATGGCTTCCATTTGTTGGCTTAAGTCAAGTTTGTAAGCCTCACTCATGAACTCATTCTCAAAACTTCTGGTTCAACGACACCTAGCGAGATGTCAGAGGCGCCCACATGTTAGTATATCATTTGTGTTGTATTGATCTTGGAATATTTTTTTGATATTTTGACGGCATGCAGTTATGGCAACTGGAGACCCTACTGCTGCAAAGGGACACATACCTAAACTACAGTCAAGCTCTGAGCTACACGAGCCAGGCCTTGAGCCAGAACCTGGCGGGGCTAAGAAAGCGGGGGCCCATAAGGAACCTGAGCACCAAACTTGGCTACTACATTGAAGAGAATTGGAAGCGACTGTGGGTGATCGCGCTGTGGATTGGGATCATGATCGCCCTTTTCACGTGGAAGTTCATTCAGTATAGAAACATGTACGCATTCAAAGTGATGGGATACTGCCTAACTACAGCCAAAGGGGCTGCCGAGACTCTCAAGTTCAATATGGCTCTCATTCTTCTTCCTGTTTGTCGAAACACCATTACGTGGCTTCGTGCCACTCGCATATCTCGAGTGCTGCCTATTGACGATAACATCAACTTTCATAAGGTCAGTTCCCATATCTAGCTTATTAGTATTATCTGTAACTTAGATATAAAAATACTTGGATAGGCTAAAGGTGTACCCGATCGATCAATATGAGAGTAGGGGTGCTTTTTCTTCTAGTGGTTGATGAGGTTTGCCGGGTCCCAATATTTGAACGTTGACGCGTTCACATGGATGGGTGCTATTAAGGGAATATTTCTTGTGGGCCCAACAGGGTCATGTGTCAGGTTCTTCCAGTGCACACCAGCTGCAACCCATTAAGAATCTTCCATTGATGATTGACATACTTTGATTCTGTACTTCATTATTTTAGAATGATCCTACTTTTATTTTATTTTTTATCAGTTTATTATTGTGTAGAGAATTTAATGGAGTATTTAGTATTTATATATTTTTGCACTAGTCAGATCTCGAACCAGATGGTTTCAATGTGAAACTATTATTAGATGAAACATCCCGATCATACTGTTTTGAACATAGTGGAAAATCTCGGTTGTATGCGCCGTAACTCTAAAATTGCAGTCCTGCGACATTTCTTCCTTCTCATATACTCTTGCATAATATCATTTTTTCGTGTAAATATTCAGTTCAAGATTTAATAGTTTAACTTAAGGGATGAAAATGATCTCTAGCTAGTTCATATCTTAAACTTGATTATTACGCACATAGTAGTTACACTTCTCAGACTACCCACAACGTTGCAGACCATTGCAGCAGCAATTGTAATTGGAGTGATCCTCCATGCCGGCAACCACCTCAGCTGCGATTTCCCACGCCTAATATCCTCAGACGACAGAATGTATAGCGGGATGAAGGGTGATTTCGGGGATTCAAAGCCCTCCTACATAAAACTCGTTCGAGGCCCAGAAGGTGCAACAGGAATCCTCATGGTCGTATTCATGGCGGTGGCTTTCATACTTGCTACTCATTGGTTTCGCCGGAGCCTGGTCAAGCTCCCCAAGCCCTTCGACAGGCTCACAGGTTTCAATGCGTTTTGGTATTCTCACCATCTCTTTGTTATAGTCTATGTTTTGCTCGTGGTTCACGGACAGTTCCTCTATCTTGTGCATTCCTGGTATCTCAAAACGGTAAGAATTCATTAGGTTAAATATACATTTTACCGTGTTATTCACTGGGTTAAAATATACATTTTACTTTGTTCAAAGACAACATCTTAAAAAGTTTCCATTATAGCCAGTATTGGTGTTACAAGAATTAAACTTGGTTTAATGCACAGACATGGATGTATTTATCTGTGCCCCTTCTTCTTTATGCTGGCGAAAGAATCCTGAGAGCTTTGAGGTCTGGATATTACTCTGTCAGATTACTCAAGGTATGAATCAGGAGATATTAACTTATTGGGGTTTTTATGTGATGAATCTGAAATTTTCTCCTAAGTAGTTTCACTTATAAATTTTAGGTAGCTATTTATCCTGGTAATGTTCTCACGCTGCAAATGTCGAAGCCTCCAGCTTTCAAATACAAGAGCGGGCAGTACATGTTTGTTCAGTGCCCCGCAGTCTCACCATTTGAATGGTATTTGAGTGTGAATAAATCAGGAGTAGTCTTTTGCTACATTTAATGTATTTGACCCTTACCGATATCTTGTGTTCATACAAACTTGTTCAGGCATCCATTTTCAATAACATCAGCACCAGGAGATAATTTCCTTAGCATCCATGTTCGTCAGCTTGGCGATTGGACCCAGGAGCTCAAACGGGTATTCTCGTTGGCCTGTGAGCCTCCTACTGCAGGAAAAAGTGGCCTCCTTAGAGCTGATGAAAGTACCAAAAAGAGGTTAAACGAGTTTGCCAATAAAAGTGTGTCATATTTTCAATCATCAGCTAACACTTATTATATCATCTGCAGCTTGCCAAAACTCTTAATAGATGGACCTTATGGGGCTCCTGCTCAGGACTATAGTAAATACGATGTTCTGTTACTCGTAGGGCTGGGAATCGGGGCGACACCATTCATTAGTATACTGAAAGATTTGTTAAACAATATTGTGAAAATGGAGGAGCAAGCTGTGAGTCTTCGCTTCATAATACCATACTTTTGTACTCTTACATTCTACTGAATCGGTGTTTTTTGCAATTTTAGGATTCGATGGTTGATTTCTGCCCCCCAGCAGGCGAACATATGGATCTGGCTACCATCATGAGAGCAACTACACCCAACATTAGAAAAATGCTCAAGACGACCAATGCGTATTTCTACTGGGTAACTCGAGAACAGGGCTCTTTCGACTGGTTCAAGGGAGTTATGAATGAGATTGCTGAGCTTGACTATAGGGTAACCAAAATCCTAAAAATAGAAGACTTTGCATTTCCCTAAAATAGTTAATTTATTGCTTTTGTGATAGGGTGTAATTTTCGATGAAATGTTGTAGGGTATAATTGAGATGCACAACTACCTCACTAGCGTGTACGAAGAAGGGGATGCCCGATCTGCACTCATCACTATGGTTCAAGCCCTCAATCATGCTAAGAATGGTGTCGACATAGTGTCTGGGACCAGGGTACTATGTCAATCCCCTCTTCCAATTTTATGTTCGTCGAAAAAGCTACCCTAAACACACTAACTTAATCATTTGTGATTAATGCGCATAGGTGCGAACACACTTTGCGAGACCTAACTGGAAGAAAGTCCTGTCAAGATTGAGCTCTAAGCATCCTTGCGCAAAAATAGGTAAATATATTTCCATCATCTTACTTGCAACTGCATCGATGAAATCGACAAGAAATTTGATCTCAAATCTTTGATCACATTGGGGGTGTAGGAGTATTCTACTGTGGAGCTCCAATTTTGGCTCAAGAGCTGAGCAGGTTGTGCTACGAGTTCAATCAAAGAGGCGCCACAAAATTCGAGTTCCACAAAGAACATTTCTGAATACACGTACATATACACATGCATACATACTAATACCATAGAACGAACTACTGTACACACTATTTTTGTAATAACTTTTTGAAAAGATGAGGTAATTGAATATAGAAGAGAAAAAAAACTCAAGTTTATACACCTTATCTGGCGTCTGTATAAATAAATTGAAGATAAGCAAAAAGATGAAAGAAAAGGAAAGAGTATTGGTGGTGAGTGCGTTGACAAGGACCGAAGGAGCACCAAGGATTCTTGACGCGGCTACCTGGTGGTGGGTCCTACGAAGTGAGGAACAGCTAGTGGCTGTTGTTGACTTTTTTATATGTACACTTGGCAAGGTTTCATTGGCTGGAGTCCATCGTTTCTAGAAGCTCAGGTCACCTGCGTTCATGGGTCTTCGGGAGAGTAGGTGAGCCTGATATTATTATTTTGAAAATTTTAAAATTGAGCAGTAGGTAGAGTAGAAGAGAAACCAAAATGGTTTGATAGAGAAATTGTGTATATGTGATTAGAATTAGCTAATCAAGGTCAATATGCACCAAACTATAGATGTACTATTATTTTCTAATTAGTTAATGATAAGATGGATGATGGTAGTTTGGTGGGGGGCTTGCTTGTGTTTGTGGTCATGAATATACTTGCACATATTGTTGTTAATAATTATTAGTGGAAAAGTTTAATTAAGGAAAGCAAGCTCATAACAATGATGGATGACTAGGAAGTAGTTGTTTTGAGGATGCAACCATGTGATGCACATGGGTTTTTGTTGGAGATTTTCTTCATGTTTTTGCATGTTTTGTTATGAGAATCAATAATCATAGAACAGTAGTAAACTTGAGAGCTTCATTTATTTAGCCAATACCTATTTTAGCGCTTAGCTAGTTTCGATGCCTGATCATTATAAATAGATCAACGTGGATGACCTGTTTATCAAACGTGACTTCGATTGTAAATTCTTCGGCTCATTTCATAGAAAAACACCTTCCAACTTCAATTGATGCAGAAATTACCTTTGGTATGGATCCGGTATTCTAATGCATCGAACACTAATGATGTTATTGATCTGAACCCCACTGTTTCACCTTCTGAGCAAGATAAGTAGGATCTGTTGCGCGCAGCGGAAATTTCGGCAGCACTTCGGCAGCACAACAAGAGAGTCAGGTCGCAATAAGAATTCTTGTTTCTCAAAGAATCTGAAGCCTATATCCTATCAAAGTAGGATATTAGCTCTTCCTCTCGTCAGCTCTAGGACTGCGCGTCGAGGGACCCTAAAAGCTATTACAAATCACACAAAAGCAGTACAACCAATTTTAACGTGGTTCGGCAAATTGCCTACGTCCACGGGGCAAGGAGGGGGGAGATCTACTATTAGAGGGAGAGAATACAAATAGGGTTTACACAAGAATCTCACAAATAAAACCCTCACACAAAACTCTCAAACCTCTCACACAAACTCTCTCTACAAAAGATGCTCAGAACCCTCTTGACGGCTGCTGAAAACTCCTCNCACAATTCTCCACCTCGGTGAAGTTTTCCCAAAACTGAGCCGACACCAAAGCATCCAAGCGTCCCACTTGTTGTGTCCAGTACGAACTCAATCAACAAGTCGAAAACCCGAACGAGAGTCCACAAACAATCTCACCCCCATCAAAATCCAAACCGGCTGCATCTGAAAGACTGCCTACGTATCCTCTTGCCCAAGGAATCAAGCCGAACGTAGTTCACCAAAATGGCCGTCAACGGCCTCAACAATCACGAATATGCAACAAGTTTCGACAATGATCAAACTTGTTGCTCTGATACCACTTGTTGTTCGGAACCACCTTAGTGAGCATATCTGCCGGATTATCCTTCGTGTGGACTTTCACAATCTCCACATCACCATCTTCAAGAACATCCCGAATGAAGTGATAATGAACGTCAATGTGCTTCGTCCGCGCATGAAAAACCTGATTCTTCGCCAAATAGATAGCACTCATGCTAT